GCACACAGAGTCATCTCGATGTCTTCAGTGGGACACAACTTAGTTTAAGGACTAATGAAATTCCATTGACAGTCGATATTCTTCTTTAACAGTTCGTCACCGACATAAATCAACCATTTTCATTCTTTTCGAAGAGGCTAACGACTACCGAATCAAGTGAACTGCTCGATATTTTCTTAGAAAACAAACAATTCGCGTATGTCTTGGAAGCCCGTTAATTACTCATTTTCACGAATCAAAACCCCTTTATTTATGCTATTCTAAAGCACGCTGGTTACCATTTCAATTAGTTTATTCGTTATCTTAACATTAACCTACAATGCACTAATGATACCCAATAAAATGATGGCATCGGTAAAACTCTTGCCTATACAATGTTCCGTTCTAAACCTACGAGAAATTCTTACACATCAAAAATCAGATACAGAATTTGCGGAAATCACTTCCAAGCTCCCTTTTTGATCCGAATCTCTTCACCTAAACATTTCCGACATCAAATTCATCCTGATGCTTCGATGGGCGAGCTGAGGTTTAGTCGCGAAATACACTGTTGGAGGATTTTAAATGATTTTAATGGATTAGCACACCCAAGCATTCATTCAACATCCAAGCTGATTACGGACTCTTTCATTTAAAAACATTTCCAGAACCTCTAGCCATGGGTTCGAAATTGGCTCACTTGTCAAGTTAGCAAAATTCATATGCGCAATCGATCCCACTCACCGTTTTCTCTCTTTCTTAAAGTCGATTTCCATATATTCATACTGATATTGTGCTTACCCTTCCACAAAAATATTAACCTGCATTGATCGATTTCCATGTTAGCTTTTTTGTGATCTCATTCTATTGTACTTTTGCTAAATTTGTTGTTAAAGCCCTGGTGGAATTTCGAATGTCTAATATTTTTGATGTTCCACCTGTAGTTACAACAACCAAAGTATCACAATTCACTTCTGCCATATTTCGCGAGTTGTTTCATCTCTCGGTTTCAACCTCCCACCTAAATGTCAATCGTTGTATTCAACGTATTCAACAACAGCTTAAATCCGCTCCAATATCAATTTTGACTAAATTAAATAGGTCGATAGGTCTTACAATCATTCTACTTGCAAGTAGGTCCATAGTTAAGGAAAACCTCAGTTTCAATCGGGGAGAATAATATTTTACAACTCCTTGGCTATCTGGTGACATGATTTTCGACTCCCATTACAAAAATTTACGACGAAAGTAGCTAACTTTGATCTTTTCAATGTGTATTATAGCAGTAAGATTGAGTTATAGTTAGATCAAGTAGAATGATTGTTTAAAAATAGGCCTAAGTTTGTGATGAAACGAGCTACGATCCGAAAAAAGTAGTGAAACAAAATAGAATTAATTTAAGGCATTTGCTCACAATTTATATGATGAATATCCTAAAGCCTACCATTTGCAGATGTGGAGTTTTGATGTTATATGAAATTCTAAGTTTGTCTTTAAAGTATTTAAATAATTATTTACAGATGCATCCCCTATAACAACGAACCGGCTCATTTCCAATACAAATGAAAGCAATCATTTTGCTGGAAACTGAGTCAATTCGGCTTCATATGAAAGCTCCTCCTCTTGCCATGAATCGACCTTTCGTCTTCGTTTTGTCTATTTTAAAAATCACTGTCAGAATCATCTCAACTCCTTGTGCTATATAGTTCAGTTAAATAAATGAATAGCATTGCATATTATATTATCGTCATATTATGAGATGTCGCTTGGTACATTCTCATTAACAAGATTAACAACCACTATGGAATGAGTATTTTTCTGTCGTATAGCTATCCTTAAAGGTCGGTAACTTTATCAATTAAGTTTTTTTCATATATTCATTTTGATTTCCGTTGTCCATTACGTTTTCCCAAATTGTAAATCAAATAAGAAATTTTAAAGGCATAACTCTTGTAAAGAAGGAAACCTTGAATTTCAAAACCAGGTGACAAAAGTGCTAATTTAATGTATTTTCCAAACATAAATGTGTGAAATTATAAACTAAATGAACTTTCAACATATTTAATCACTTTTAACTTGCAAAACTATTGAAAACATTAGAAATCTAATAGTCATTTTTTTCGGCTTCCAATGAATACAATATTGCCACCAATTGGTGAACATTTTTCAAATCAGTCATATAAACCCCTTAATGCCATTGGGACTGTAAGATCTTCCATATTAAGCCCATTTGTACCAAACCCGAAACGCAAAAAACACTGTGTAAAACGTTATCAAACAAAAAATAATTCAACACAAATAATAATAATAATAATTAAACTAAATATAATTTCATTCTTGTGATTAAATATTTTAAATATATATTTGCAAGTATACCTAGAAATTAAGCATAGTTGCAATAAATTTTAAATAAAAATGTGCTTAAAATCAAATCTCGAGTAAGATAATTCATTTGATCAGAATAATAATTGAGACAACTGAAAATGGAAATTAAATAAATGAGTGTTTCCATATGCAAGTTGAAATATGTGAAAATAGGAAAGACGTAAGACTCTTAGAAACAGGAGAACATTGTTCAATTTGCCGAAATCACAAATTCTCAGCATATTCCTACTTACAATCATAAAGTACTCATTTCGCAGCTGGAATTATATGATGTAAACCAATTTCTTCAAATTTTAGATATACTTTTCGCTTTTACAGAAGGTTGTGAAGAATTAGGTAAATCAGCCTTTATTCTCGTAAAAAAACTATTTTTTAATTTCTACATGAGCAAAAGGCATTGAGTTAGTAATACACGATTTCCTTTGAAAATCGCTTACCAAATTGTAATCGTCACGAATGCTTGCAAAATCAGGAAAATTGGAATTTCTCCAAAATCCGACTTTGTTCAAATAAATATATCTATTTAGCGAGCGAAGTTTATCCAAATTTGCTTAGAGATTTCTTTAATTTGTAATATAGGGGTTTTTTAAATAAAAGTATTAACATTTTTAATTTAGGAATTTTAATATCTCCTTACGAAAGACGATGAAAAAAGGTAAATAACTAAAAAACCCAAATGCATAAAACGAAATTTTAAATTACTGCATTAAAGATGTCAGAAACTTAGCATAAAGTGAAAAATTAAATTATCTCAGGTGTTGAGAGGGCAGTAAGCGAGGTAATGGAAGGCGTATGAAGAAAATTCACTGCATGTAAACAGTATTGTTTTTACTTGGCCTTTCAAATTCAAACTTCATTTCACCTTATGTTGCATTATTTTATATTAGCAAAGCTATAACACTCTCTACAACCTAGAATAGTGAATATTTCCAATTCATTACACTAATAAATTTACCATGCTTGCATTAAGTGACAGCACATTCAAGTATGGATGATTTTTTAAGATTGGATAGATGGGTTTGATATAAAGGTGTCATTGAATTGCTAGCAACGCACACTATCCCCTTGGTCTGTTTTTAAGAAGCAGCAAGGTGAATATTTCTCTCTACAAGTTCAATGCAACCCACATGAAGAATTCTAGAAGGTAAGTCGTCGTAAATCAAAATGAGTGAAGGCTGAAACATTTTTATTTGTTTTGGGGCGTATTTCGTTAGGTTCTAGCTTGAACTATTTTCCAAACCAAATCTTTTAAATTAAAGAGACAAGTTGATTCTAGGATGAGTTCTATCTTGGAAATCTTGTAGTAAACGTGTATCATGTCGGTTCATTTGGTATTACCTGAAACACACAAAATCGTCAACAATGTAAGTCATTTCTTTGTCTGTCCATTTTCAGGTTCGAGCCCATTTTGGCAGGATCTCTAAGTATTCGCTTGGCTGGGCAGGTAGAAACACGATGCAGTGTTATCGAAAGACGCCTATTTTACCCACTTTTATTAGCTAAGCTCTGTCTTGGTGTACAAATCGATGAGCCCTGCATCCAAGAACACAAAGCAACCGTTACTGCATGCGCAATAGAATATTTCATTCAAAAAGTTTGGTTCACAAGCTATTACTTTCAGACCTAAAGTTTTCCCAAGCACACTCGTGCTTTAAAGAAACACCCACATGATGGCTAAAATTTCTCTTTTCTGAGTTCATTCACCACTCTTTCCATGAGCCGTATTGCATGTGGGTTGCATGAAATTAAAAAAAAACTGTTAACGGAAAGAGTGGTGACTGAACTCAGAAAAGAGAAATTTGAGCCATCATGTGGGTCTTTCTCAAAAAAATTGTTAATGGAAAGAAATTGGCAGCAATACATGAGTCAAAAGAGTTTTCTAACTTTTTCACAGAACATCGACTTTGTTCACAGTGAATTAGAGCATTTCAAATAAACAAAACAAATTTCGGCTGATTTTATGATTTTTAGCCCGTTGTGAATTACCGTGCAACATTACACTCCAACAAAGTATATTCAAACAGCATTCTTGACAAGCAATCATGGCTCCACTTGAGAATAAGTAGAGTTTGATCTTCCATTCATTTCAAGCATCCAATGGGTGGCTTATTAAAATAGCTTGTCTGCTCCGCTTATTCTGCTAAAGCCAAACAGTTTAGGGCTAACATTTAGAACGTGTAAAATAGGCTTACTCAAGGGGGTTCACTGATATCTTACTTAGCGTGAATGGTGGTTACTTGGAGCAAACACATTCGTAGATAGACCTCATTACTCGTATATTGAATCTCGTCCCAATCTAATTAGATCATACCTGCTAGCCACCTCAATATTTCTTTGTGATGGCACAGAAGGAATCATAAAAAAATTGTTGCCATGAAGATGGTAATAAAAATTTCCTTGAAAATAAAGCTTTAACTTGAGGCGAAAATAATACGGTGGGTGCTTCTCCTCTCAGAACATTAACGCCATTTTTAGATTTTTAATAAGAATTATAAGTGAACAAGTGAGAAAATTTCTCCCTACCGATTGACCCAGTTTTGTGCAAAAAAACTGAAGCATAACCTGAGAGCCAATCGCAAATCTGAATACTATTATAAAAAAACAGCTGCATTCATCCATGTCTACACGTATGCACGATGGAAAAAGACATAATTAATTTTCATGACACCACGGAGGATGCAACAAAGACACATCAACCCACTAAATGTCTTCGTATCGCCACAGGATTTTACAGTATTATGAGCTTGGTAAGTTGAATGCTGAAACTATATTGAAATAAAATGTTTATAGTTATTTTTAGTTGATATTCTGATTGTTGAAATCACAATTCTCATATTATTTCAAAAATCTGGCAGATACGGAGGAAGCAGTATCTTTATGGCTGTGGTAACATGCTTCACTGGCTGCTTAGCAGTTGCATCAATTCTGGGAATTGTTGGAGCCTTTTTATCTAACCGAAAAATTATCATTTGGGTAAGATTACTTCATTAATTCTCATGAACTTGAATTTAGTTCGTCTCTTTTTCAATCGTATTCTTAGCTGCAGAAGCCGCTATAATAATCGTTCTGCTTGCTAAACCTGACTTTGTAAGTATTGCGCACTCATATATTGATGGGATTCTTGGTTAGGCCTTTCCATACGCGGAGGAGCTTTTTCAAAACTACATAGATAGAGCTAATGAAGGCGGTAATAATGATACTTTTCAAGTGTCCTTGATGTCTTCCATGAGGAAGCTTCAAACGGAGGTATGAGACTAAATTTTCTTTTACCATATCCCATATCAGTTGAAATGCTGTGGATTTGATGGTCCTGAGGACTTCACATATGCCATCTTAAGCTGTTGCCAATTAGACACCTACTGTAAACTTGAGCGATTGAAAGTGAGTAAATTTGAATGAGTTTCATTAACTAAAATCCATCTCATATGGGTAAAAAAAGTTTTTACATTAATAGGGATGCAACGACAAGATTCTGGCAGTGGTGGAACTTTTAAGTCGAACTATTGATGGACTTGATCTTATAATCCTGACCATTCAAATTGTCTTTGTGACTTGTACGGTTATCCTAATTAAAAGGCTATAGTGATGAAGTATTCAATGGAGTAACCTGGTGGCCATAACTCTAAATTTTCCCATGCCATCGCATACATGTGACCCACTTTAAAACCCAAATGTTTTTAAAACCTCAAATGTTTTCATCCAAAATATGTAATTTCATCTAAGTTTCACAACTAATTTTAATAAAATGGTACACAGTGAGCTTCACTATTATGTGCTTTTCAAAGTTCCTTAAACTTGGAGGTATATAATTCTAATCAGCCAAAATTAGTGGGTCATCACAAGGCTTTTGCGCATTATCTGTGGTGATATTCAATGCAAGTAGTTTGCTACATCAAAGCTTTTGAGCTCTCACTTAGCTTAAATTGTATCATCATATCGTTGCATCACTTCAGGATCGTAGATATTTGGGAATTACAAGAGCTATCAGTGACGGCAAATATTAACATATTGGGCCTTGTAAACGCCTGAAAATGCACATTTGAAATGTGATAGCTCATTGCCATTTAAAGTCAAATTATAATTTCTCAGATGATTCTGAACTGAAGGCTTGAATTTTATCAATCCTCTCCACGTTGATCACCCAAAAGCCTAATAGAATTTGATTTAGAGATAATAGATAATCCATCAAATAGTTTGTTGAGAGCAAGGACCCGTATTGTAGTAATACTAACTTATTTATGGCGGTAATTTATAATCATACTATAATAATTTGTGCCATCGGCTGATCTAAATCTACAGCATCATATTCAAATGGGCATATTTTTAGGAGAAATGCCAGATTTTCCAATAACTTGTTTTTAACTGATTTTCGTTGTTATAGGGGATGCAGCTGTAAATAATTATTTAAATACTTTAAAGACAAACTTAGAATTTCATATAACATCAAAACTCCACACATTAAATCAAAGAGGCGCATTCTACGGATTTTACACCCGATTGGCTAGAAAGTGGCACAAAGACATTTTCATTTTTTGATGAAAGAGACCAAATACTACTTTCCTTATGGTATATAATTTTATGTTAGCAATAAATTGGTTATAAATTCAAGTTTAAATACGATATCTAGAGAATATGACAATTGAGCGACACGAAACATTTGCCTAAACATTAGATTTTAATGCTACTTATAAAATTTAAGTAGCCTAAGTTGTTTCTGATTCTTGTTTTAGGTAAAGTACGCTGTAGTTTTTCATATTCCATTTTTAAATTGGGTAATGCCAGTGAGTTGGAAACTAAATCTCTAACTTTTTTTTTATTTCATTTATCTAATAAATTTTCAAATGATTGCTATATTCTCTAAGCAAAATGTTGATAACCTTATTAGTAAAAGCAATAAAATAGGGTTCTGGTATTTATCATATTTCTTGGAAAAAAATCAAATAAATTCAAAGGATTAAGTGAAACAATGACGTGCGCTATTTTGCATTTGCATAACACATAATTTCTCAATTTAAAAGATTCAATTTCAATCTTTCCTTTTTCAGCGAAAATCTCGACATATGTGGGACACGTCATCGCATGCGCGTACACATAGGCTTG